TAAAAATAAGATAAAGATAACTCTATACTAGATTATTTAATATGCAGTATAAGATTATTCTTATTAATATTTTACTTTAAAAATATAATTAACATAAAGTCACAAGATTATATATTTAAAATATTTAAAAAATTAGGATTAATTATTTATACTTTAAAAGATATAAACTATTTATTAAGCTATTAAGATGCTAGTCTTTAAAGGAGGGGATTATTAAAGAATAAAAATATCATAGTTAATAGATTAAGTTAGTCACTATAGGATTAATATATATTAAAATAAAGAATTATCTACAAAGCCTTAGAATTAGGGCAATAAAGCTAGTAGAGCTATTACTATATTAATTATATTAATTAGAACAGAGCAAACAGAGCTATTGCTATATTAACTATAATAGAGAAAAACTATATAAAGATGCTTATTTATTATATATTTAGTTTTCTTTTATTGTCTTAAATTAATTATAATAACTTAAGTATATAATTTTCTATTAATCAAGATATTCATAGCCTTATTCTTACTTCTTTCATCTATCAAGACCTTTTGACCTTAGAAGCCTATTAACTTCGCCTGTTAATAGCTATCCTAGCTATACTCGACGGTAATCAAACCGAAGTTTCCGACAGTAATCTAGATTTCTGAAAGGTTCTAACAATGTAGAATACTAACTGGCAAAGGCCATTTACCTTTCTTAATATTATATAGATCCTCTAGTAATCTACAGCATGAATTAAAATATGGGGTAATCCCTATAAGGCATATCTAGCCCCACATCTTCCCTGCATGTGATTCGTCCACGGGAGGCGGCCTGCGGGTACTTCCGCAGTAACCGCGTGCCGCCAAGCCAAATCGTACTAGGCCGTCACACAAGTTTTTTTTCTTAAATATAATATATTTATAGGATTCTATTTTATTATTCTATTTATTAATTTTTTTTTAATTTCTTTTTACTTTCTTTAGTACTTCTTGTTTAATATATCTTATTCTTTAAAGATTTTTTTTTCTTTAATTAATTTCTATTAAGTCTAACTTAAGCTTAATATAGATTTTTAATCTTCTTAATTTTTAGTTTCTACCAACTATTAAAAACTAAAGTATATCTTTTTTATCTTATCTTTTAATTTTTTTATAATTAATAATTCTTTTTATTTATTTTCTTTTTTTATCTAGTGATAGCTTTCTAGAGACTTAGTTTTCTCTTTTTCCTTAGAAAATTATATAGTGTTAATCTTAGTATCTCAGTATATTAGATAGTTATTATTATAGTAAGTTATCTATAATAATTTTTAATATTTAGAGTAATCTACTTTGCTATATTAATATTAATAATTATTTGTATATTCTAGGATACTATTTTCTTATTTATCTTTAATATTAATTTTTTTATATAACTCTAGTATCTTATTCTATTAAATATTTTAAATTTTATTCTTATCTTTTTAAATATCTTAGTCTTTTTCTAGATTATATGCATATTTAGAATATATTATTTCTCTATATAGTTATCTAGCTTCTTTTATCTCTAAGAAGCTATTATAGATATTACTATATTTATAGATATTATATTTTTTATTAGTTATAACTTTATTATTATATCCCTTGTTATATTTTATAATCTTAAATTATCTTTTTTTAGTTGCTTTAAATTATTATTCTTTAATTACTTTAAATTATTATTTTAGTTAACTTCTATATTCTTATTTATAATATTTTTTCTTTCTATAATTAAAGTATTCTATCTTACTTTTATTAAATTATCTTTTTAATTTCTTATTAATTATTGTGTTAAGTTCTATTAATTATAATTTATAAGGATCTTGATATTTAGATCCTTTATTTATTTAATTTTAATATCTAGAGGTAGATTTTATTCTATATCTTTATTATTCTTATATTTCTTTTCTCTTTTATCTTATCTTATAGAATTTATTATTAATTTTAATAGTTTATTTAATAAATTTATTAATATTATCTAGTTAATCTATTTTAATAAGTTTTATTTATACTTTTTCTTTTAATATATTCTTAAATACTATAATAAGAACTTTATTATTATAGTCTAATATTATTATAATTTATTTAAATTATACTACTAATTATTATACTGATTTTATTTAGTATAATTATTATAGTTATCTTTTAGTATTTTATATCTTATTTATATTTCTAAATACTAGCTTAAACTTTTTTTTAAATTATTTATAAAAGTCTAGTACTTTTATAGTATTAATATTCTAGTTCTTCTTTTTCTTATTATAGTATTTATGAAGTACTAGTTTAATCTATTAAAAAGTTTCTTCTGTTAAGTAAGTTATTATAAAGATTATCTTAGATTCTTCTGTTTCTAATATTATATTATTAATTATAATATATATATCTATTTATATAAAGAAGTTCTTCAGTTCTATTCATTTCTCATTAAAGACTTATAGTTTTAATATCTTAGATTATTTTACTGCTGTGACGATGCAATGCCAAATCTATTTGGTCGCTAAACACGAAGAGACTAAACTGGAGAGAAGAAGAAGAAGAGGAAAGAACAACTACCGGCCCCCTTCCTCCTACTTATACTTCCTTCCATTCCGGATACCTGTGGGCTATCTCCGTTGTGTGCTGGTGCCTAGTAATCTAGATTTCTGGAAGGTTCCAATAATGTAGAATACTGGCTGGCAAAGGCCATTTACCCTTCTTGATATCACATAGATCCTCCGGCAATCTGCAGCATGAATCAAAACACGGGGTAATCCCCACAAGGCATATCTAGCCCCATATCTTCCCTGCATGTGATTCGTCCACGGGAGGCGGCCTGCGGGTACTTCCGCAGTAACCGCGTGCCGCCAAGCCAAATCGTACTAGGCCGTCACAACTGCTATAATTACTTTTAATTTCTTGATATATTTTTGAAGTATTTTTTTATTAATAAGAGCTACTATTAATCTGATATTTAAAGTACTTATATTCTCTATTATCTTAGATTAGTCTGCAGGTATTCTTTTTCTCTTACCTAAACTTCCTTATCTTTTGTAATAGTATTTATTTTATATTGTTCTTTAAAATTAAGATAATAGCTCTTTTATCACGTGCCTAGATCTACCCTAGTTATCACTGATTGTGTTGAGATATAATATAATAAATGAATTATATAAAGATTTATAAGGGTAACTTGTTAATAAGATTGGATATAGTTTAAACTTATTAGTAATAAAGATTAGTTAATTATAACTAAGATAGAAGAAGTATTTTAAAGTATTATAATATCTTAAATAGATTTACCTTGCTGACCTTTTTAGTATATAACTAAATAACTTAGATTAAAGAGCTATACTAAATAGGAACTAAGTACAAGAATAAGCATATTTATATAGTTAGTACACTCTATACTCGCTCTATACCTTAGAGTGTATACCTAATTATATATTTAATAGTCTTGTTTAGCACTATATATACTTCTCCTACACCCTATGGTATATACTATGGTATATACTGGTCACGTGTTTATTTCCTTATATTAGCTATAAGCCCATATGTTTAGTGACTGCCTTGCGTGTTGGTGCGTATAAATGACTGGTCGTGGTGTTAGCTGCTTTAGCTAAGCACCTTCCCTTGATAGTACTAGTTTCTGCCTAGTATCATGCAGGTTGGTTTCGTAACATATAAGTATATTTTATATAAAAGAGAAATACACTTTTGTAATAAATAAAATAGATATATAAGGAATTATTCTTATTATCATTATTTATTTATTAGAGGAAATTTATATTATAAAGTTTACTAGATAATATATTATAATAACTTATATAAATTTTATATTAGATTAAAGGTAATATCAGGATAATTTCTAAATACTTTATCTATTATTCTGAAATTGAAATTAGAATGTCTATAAGAGTAGTTAAAACATTAATATATTTATAAAAAACCAGTATGCGCCTTCTTCGACGAGTGGCAAGACTTGAACCAAAAGTACGAGGGCAAAGCCATGCTAAGTGTCATGTTTGAGTCTTTCCCTCAACAACGTGTCCGCGAGATCGACAACGATGCAACTGCGTATCCGTGGCGGCATGGATCAGACCATTTCTTGTGAGTCGCGCAATTTAGCCAAACAGACAAGTTGATTGATAGGCTGACGTATTTTATTCAATAAGAATGATAGAAGCCGCGTACAAAAGCTCCAGCGATGAGGCGTTTTTTGATGAGTGGCTTTCCAAGCAACAGGACGCCTTTATCGCAACGTCCGGCTATGGACGCCTTCAACAGTATGTCAACTATGGACACGGTTCCAAAGATCCCCCGGAGGCACTATACGGGTACGAACCCTGGAGGCTGGAGAAACTTCGGCGACTTAAGAAGGAGTTTGACCACGAGGGGTGGTTTAATGGGTACCAGCCGTTTGTTGAAGACCTCGAGTTGGATGTAGAGTAGCCGTATACTCAGTAGTGGTTGAAACACTATGTGCGTTCTTCATCTGAAGAATCAGGTAGTGTGAACCTTTCGACAGTTAAATGAAGTATTGAGAGCCAGCTTTTTCCCGTATTTAGATCAGGAATGTTATTATATGGACTGTTAGATGATATGTTTTTAACACACGTTGTGCACATGTAGAGAATATTAGGAAATTACCTAGGTATAATATCGCAGAATATGTATAGTTGGCATCTTCTACATTATTAAGGGAATGGTAATCTCTTCCTGGTAGTTGTAGTCAGAGTCTATGGCAGTGCTCATCGTAAACGACAATCTCTATGAGGTTCTTCACACGATGAAAAGTTAGAATGGGCTATAGGCTCGTTTTTCATGGTTTATGATAAGACCGCTACCATTTACAGATGTTAATCACCAGAATTGCAATAAGAACAATATATTCAAATATATTCTACACGGTAATACAGAAGCATCACGTTGAAGAAACAGGTCTCCTTTCTAAATTTCGCGTCGATCCTCCTTCACTTGTACTGTAGCAGAGATATATGCACAGACAGGAAACTTGGAAGAGTGCGCACTCACCCAGCCCAGTCAAAGCCCAACTTGAAGCCCGGGACTAGCTTCTGGAAGACCCCGGCAGGATCGTACGTGTGACTGACAGCCTTCATCTTTCTGAGCGATTCCCCGTACCCATAGGTGCTGATGGGACTGTTGTCGAACCCCGCATCATTTAGCCAAGTGAATGGATAGTATAAACCCTTCTCCTTGGACTGGCGGTCGATATCGGCGATGGTTGACGTGAGATACTCTTTGACGACTTCGTCGTCAGCTGCATCGCTCCAGGTGACGTACACCTCGGCCACTAGACAGGTGTGGTTAGTAGATTTATCACAAAACAACACGACAGCAGCAGGTTTCTTACCTAGAAATCCTCCCCTCGAGGGATCCAAATCCATCGCATCTCCACCGTTATCGATGGCGGCTTGCTGCATCGAGACGGGGATAGGTTCTGCTGCGAAGCCCACGGTACAATTAACCTGGCCCAGTATAGATTTGGCATTACTTACGACGGTGTGGTGGATGAGCTGGGTGCTTTCGTTACCAAAGAGGACAGCTGTATCATACCAGCCCCATCTTTCATCTAGTCAGTAACTGAATGTACCTCGAATAGGGGAGGACGAGAAATCACCGATTGACCAGCTCGGAAAAGTAGGCCGTTTGATTCGTGAGGGTGCTGAAGTTCATCACACCCACCTCGCTAGCCATCGTAGGGATGGTAGTGAAATTCTCAAAGGCCTCGGGGTTGGAGACGTTGGCGTTGTAGAAATAGATGTTACCTAAGGCTACAACCCCTGACAACGGCTCGAAGCTGAAGGACGGCATCATGTTAGCCTTGGGATCCTCGATGCCTCCGCCGGGGGAAATGTACGCCGTGAAGGCATCGAGATACTGCTGGGTTGCGTTGGACGCCCAGGTAACACTGCCGCCATAGACTGGGCCGGTGGGATACGTGCGCAAGTCGTAGCGCGTGACGATGCCGAAGTTGTTGGATCCACCTTTGAGGGCCCAAAAAAGGTTTGGATGGGTGGCATTGTTGACCTGTAGAATGGTACCGTTGGCAGTGACCAACTCGAAATTGACCACGTTGTTGGCAGCCCAGCCGTGAAGATAGGAGTGATAGCTCAAGCCGCCACCAAGGATTAGGGAGCTTCCAACCGGAGCTACGCGTCCTCCTATGGCAACCAGGCCATACGGATTAAGAAAGTCGTACACCTCCTGCCAGCGAAAGGCCGCCCCTGCTCGGATATAAGTCTCTCCAAACTCGTTGGGAGTGGGGACGAGAGTCTTCTCGGTGAAATGCGTGGTGGCGATCATAACTCCATAATCAGTAGATGCAAAGCCAGGAATTGGCTGATGGCCGCCGCTGCGCACAGCAAAGGAGGTATTGGTATGCACGAGTAGCTGCACGCCGCTGGTCAGAGTGGTCGAGTTGACCGGGGCAAACACGCAGTACGGGGAAAGCCAGTCAGTTGTGGAAAAGAAGGCTGGTCAGAGGCGGATGGTCAGCAAGGCCATCAACAGGCAGACAGCATTGCATACACGTACCTTCAGTCTCGGTCACATACTCGGAGGTTCCAGGATTATAGACCTGACCGGGAAATTCAATAGCTAGCTGAGAACACGCAGATGTGGTCGCACGCCTATCAAAATGCGCGCTGATCGAGGGCACAACGAGGCCTATTGCGAGTAGGATTGGGAAACGCATCTTGATTTGTATTGAGATTGATTCACTAATCGATTACGGAGGTGTACTGAAAGCCACTCCGGCTTGTTTTTATCTCCAATCGAGTATACAGGCCGCGCAGGTACCTAGCAGGGTTTTATGGCATACAAATAGCCCCTTTTGAAGCTTACATATTTCGCCCCAAACCCTGCTCCATAACTAGATACAAAGGCATGGACCGATCAGAAAGAAAAACAAAATACTATGTGACCTTCTCTTACCTATCGTGGTCCATGCAATAAACAACATCATTGGAGCGAAACCGAGGGCCGGAATTAAGCAGGACAAGCCCGCAAACTCCTTTACTCTGACTCTGCATGTGTACATAGTGGCTAGTGTCTGAATTAATTTATTGTCAGAGTCGGGTTGCAGCTGAACGGGTGTAGAAAGATTTAGCGCCCAGGCAAATTTAACAAAAAAGTCTTGTACACCCGTTCACTGAAAGTTTTGTCAGAGTCAGAATCAGTGAATCCGAACGAGCCTTCTCTGAAGTGTCAGACGGTCAGACGGTCAGCAGTCAGCAGTCAGATGGGGCCCAGCCCTAACCCAACCAAAAACACCTGGTTTTATAAAACATCAGCCACACATTATACGGTGCCTACTTTCAATTGCCAAACTAACCACGATGAACACTCTTCTTGTTCTGGGTCTCTCCGTCGTGGCGGCTGCAGTCCTCCCTGCGGCGCCTGCACCGGCTCGGTATGGCACGCTCGAGTTTCAGCAGAACGCAAACGTCACGCGAGTCACTTTCAACCATCCCCCAATAAACCTAGTTGATCAGTATCTCACGTCCGATCTACTAGACTTTCTCGTGTCTCTCCAGCCCGCAAATCGCACCACGCCGCCCCCCAAGGTGGTTATCTTCGACAGCGCCAACCCGGACTTCTTCCTTGGCCACATTGATATAACATCAATCCAGCAACCGGAAACACCCGCCAAGGAAGCTCTCACGGAGAACTACATCGCTGTCGCCAATCTGTTCAACAGCATCACCTCCACCATCTTCATTGCGGAAATCAATGGTCGCGCGTTCGGCGCGGGCCAGGAGCTCTCTGTCCAGATGGACATGCGCTTTGCGGGCCCGAACGCCAGCGCCGGCAGCTTTGAGAATGGACTGGGACTCGTGGCTGGTGGAGGTGGCCAGCTCTTCCTTGCGACCTTGCTGAACCGTGGCCAGGCCCTCGAGTACCTGTTGGGGATCAAGGCGTTTGATGGGCCCACTGGTACGGCCCTCGGGCTGTTTAACAACCACTATGCCACGGCAGATGAGCTTCGCGAGGCTGTTGATGCTCTTGCGTCTCGTATTGGACTTTTTCCTGCCGCTGGACTTAACGAGACCAAGTCTGCCCTCAGCTTTCGGAATCCCACGGCGGCCCAGCTAGATGCTGATGTGATTGGATTTTACGAACTGGATGGACTGCCCGTTGAACAGGCTAACGTGAACGAAGTTTTATACTTGAGTCACAATCAGACCCTTTCGCCTTTCGAATTAGGGTTGCCGTATTCCGTCTTGGAGTTGTATGGTATAGATCAATAAATGTATCACTACAAGATCACAAAGATCACCTAGAGAGTTTCTGGCAGATTTGCCCTACGTTATCATCTCTTATGATTTTTGCACTCTATTAGAAGAATACTGTTGTTGACTCCATTAAGTGAGGAGATCTAAATACTTAGTCACATAGGTAGGTAATCCAGGCTTGGCAATACTATACTAGATCTACCTAAGTACTTATATGTAACAAAGAATATTCGAGAAGAAGAAACTAAGCAGAATAAAAGCTCACGCATCTGGGCACTTAACACATATCGTAGCCACTAGACATAAGTACCCTCAGTGTCCGAGCAACAGGACAATGGTCGTTTCTCAAATTCAGCTAGTACCAATTCCAGTGGTGGTTTAATCTGGGCATCTGGGGACACTAACCCTATATCCATTCCAAACTCGTAAAGCAAAAGAAGCTGGTCTATGAGATCTTCCACTTTTTGGTAGAGCGTGGTCGAACGGCTACACTTTGTCGTGGCACGGATACCTCTTCGTTTGGGTGAAGATATCAGATCGGGTCTTTCTTTGCTCGATTCATTCGGCCGCAGTGCATCCTGCATTTTTTCGTGTGGTTTCTCGGTATGGTGGCGCTCCCTGTTGTTGGTAAACTCGCCCACAACATACTCAGATGTTATGCTGCGTGGGGTGGAACGATAATGCGGATTTCCCTTTTGGCGTTCTTGATGTATATTCGTGACATTCAGGCTTGGGTTTGAATATGGCGTCAACTGCAACGTTGGGGGCCTGGTAGCAACTGACGACTGAATGAGGTCCATGTCGAGCAATGTCTCATTGCTGTCAAAATTCAAATTCTGTTCGCCGTCGTTCGACATTTCAAAGTCGCCTTGTGCGTGTGGAAGGATGGATCTACCCAGGGCCATGTCTTCAGCAGCAGATGCAACCTGCCTGCCTTTCGTGTCTATAGGGCTGTTCAGGCCTCTAAATCCACACAAGAATGCAGAGACGTCCCTGCCGGTGCAGTCACTTGGATCCAAGGACAACGCATGATCTTTTTCACCGACACCACTGCCCCATATCTCTAGGGAACTCTCTTTACTTGTGTTAGCTATCGTCGATTCATTTCTTTGCTCCTGTCGCATTCTTTCCCCTGCAGCCAATACTATATCAGAGACAAATAATATCAAGGACGCGCCTCAACGGTGAATACTCGGGACTTACGGCGCTTACGCTGGGAGAGTCGATTTTGCAACCTCCTTCGGTCCCTCAGATCCAAGGGGCTGTACGTGGCGTTCTCCATTGGCATGGTAAAAAAAACATGACTTGAGAACAAAACAATAGTTTTGTTCAAAAGGAGATTTGTGTAACTTATTTATAAACTAATATCACAACCCTTACAGACCGGAAACCGCAATGAACGGAAATACAAATATTCCATGCAGGCTTAGTTGCTTGCTCATATGCGTGGTAACATGCAGGCTTATATGCAGGCTTATATGCGGGCTTATATGCGGGCTATATGCGAGAATCCCCGGATTGGCCAGGTCGCGTAGCGACTATTTTAGGCTGCCATACCGTTGTCCCCTGCATGGTAGCACTTTACATGCTCAGTTTACTATATTAGTGAAATAATGAATATAATGAGTTCTCGCAGGGCGTTTCGCACCCTGTTTGTTGAGATAGTGCCAAAATTTCAAGTAAAATCCAGGTCGAATACAATCATTAATGATTCATATGTGAATACCTGCTGTAGGTTATCTCTAACCCTAATACGACGGTGAATCCTACGATGTTGGAGTAGAAGAGAAAATCAAATACTCTGCATGTATGATCTTGGTGGCATTCAGGTGGTAGCTAACAATTGAAATTTCTCGCTTTACATCAGGAGCCCACCGGAATCAGAGCTGATAATCCGACCTGTGATGTTGACATCTTTCATCAGATACAGATAAGCTTCTGCTACATCTTCTGGCTTTGCTACTCGTCCAGTGGCATGTTTCTGCGCTTGATATTGGAACATGCCCGCTTTCTGCTCACTGTCTGGAACAAGCGGATCCCATAATTCCGTATTAACCAGTCCTGGGCTAACAGCATTCACACGGATAGGCTTCAAATCTAGAGCAAGATTCCGTGTGACACTGCACACTCCCCCCATGTATCCCGCAATCAGGGTCCAGTTTGGTGAAGGATGTTCCCATACAGTTCCCGATGTAAAAATAATCGATGACTCTGGGCCTGAAGATAGATACTGCGAGCCAATCTTAGCAACCAAGATTGGCGCCACAAAACGCATTTGGCCAGCGGCAATGATTTTCTCTCGTGTAATGTCTTGAACCGGTGTAATAGCTAAAGCGTCCGCTGCGGTGTAGACTATGTGATCAACCTTGCCGCTTTCCGCTTCAGCTTGTTGGAAGAGCTGCTGGATTTCATGCTCCACGTCCTTGCCAGCTAGATTGCATGCAGAGCCTTTGATTTGACCATCAGGAAAGCCGGTGTGTAGCTTCTGCATCGTCGAATGGATGCGTTCAGTGGATGATGACGAAATGGTAAGTGAGGCTTTGGACGCCAGACAAGCTTTGGCAACTGCAAAGCCGATACCAGATGTGGCGCCTAGGATCAGCACATGCTTCCCAGCGAGTTTATTGTTGTTGTACGCTTCAGTGGCCATTATGTTCGTTTTTTATTTTTATTTTCCCCTTCGTCTACCTTCTTTGAACTATAGCAAAGGACTCTGCATACAGCTATCAGACCGGGCATCTGTCATAACTATAAAAGGTGCACACAAACGTAAAATATGATTTAATAAATAATAAATAAATAAAGATATCCCCGATATAGCTAGATGGATGCATACACAAGTTAAGTCCGCTTAAGGCCGAACGCCGATGGTGACGGATTTAGGGCTCCGTGTAAACCCCGTGGCCTTCTTTGCATGACTCTGACTCTGACACACCCAAGGCTTGACAGGGGTGGATGGCTCATGCATTGTCATCTCGGAGATGTGCCCAAAATCATCAAATCATGCAGCGATATACGGACTAGTGATGCCTGCAATAGATACCATAGAATGGCAGTGCTTTCCACCAGTAATAGCACAGTGCCGGCAACTGTCATTCGAATCGATGATTTCTACTCCTGGCCGTATGGTTTGCCAATAAGCTTGTACGAAATAGGTAATTCAACGCTATGACAGTGACATTTTCAAGCCATACCCCGGCCATGAGATGAATGCCCGAATTTCCCGAGTCCTACGAGACACAGCTAGCCATACGGAGAACTTATTCAAGGCAGAGCGCCCATTGGCGGAATAACTGCAATGCAGAAACAATCTATCTTTCTGTGTGGCTACCAAACTATTATTCTAGCATACCTGTTGGCTATTCTTTCAGCCGCTGCCGCCATTCAATCATGGGACCATTCTCCAAACTGGTGAAAACATCGATCTGTTCCAGGACAAGATGCGAGCCAACGCCGGGCAAGGTGTCTCTAGCCAGCTTACCACTATCGCCCACTATCCGGAAGTCTAAAAGATACACCAATTTCGCGATCACGTAGGTTACTTCCTTGAGGGCTAATCGCTGTGCAATACAATGTCGCGGGCCTAGCGAGAAGGGTTTAAAGACGGACCGCGAGAGGTTAACCTGCTCCTCGTCGACGCCAGTGCTTGAGTCGACAATCCAGCGCTCGGGCAGATACGCGTGCGGCTGCTTAAAGTATTCCTCGTTACGAAAGAGAGAGAAGTTGGGCACACCAACGTAGACACCTTCGGGATAAAATGATTCGCAGATCTTCATGCTGCCCTGTCCAACCCGACGAGGAATGTTGGTTGGAGAGGGCGGACAAAGACGCATCGCCTCGTCGATGCATGCACGAAGGTACTTGCAGTTCTCGGCCGCGAGGACATCTATATCACTCGCACATTTAAAGGTGTCGTACAGCTCAGCCCGGAGTTTTCCCAGCACGCTCTGGTGATGGACGAGATAAAAGATTGTCGAAGTCAAGGTCGTTGATGTTGTATCAGAGCCTGGCATGTTTTAGTCTCACCTCGTTTTTTTTTAGATCCACAAATGAACAAACCTGCCATGAGAAGAAGGATGGCCTCTCCTAGTAACTCATTATCGCTATACACAGAATTTGTCTCTTCATCGCGGGCGTCTAACAAATGGGACAGGATGTCCTGATGGGCGGCCACTTCCTGTACCCCCTCGACGGCCCTGTACTTATTCACGCGCTGCATAGTGTATGAACGCGCGTAATCCGCAAGCACCGTGTTCGCTGTGAACAATTGTGGAAAAAGGATGCGGTCCACGTACAACTCTTTTAGGAGAGGCTCATGGGCTGTCTAAAGTCCTGTGATTAGAAACGTCCTCCACGGAAAAGTATCCCAACGTGCATACATACCATGTAAATTCGCAAAGCGCGCCGGTGAAAATCGGGGAGGAGTTGGTCACCCTTTCCATCAATAAAACCAAATGCAGCACCAAAGCAGAGGCGGCCCATAATGTCAAGCATCAGGCAATTAGCCTCGTGGGCCCAGTTAAACGCCCGCCACTCAGGAGATAGCCCAGATGCTCCCAGTTTTGTAGCAAGTGCCGTGACAGGCTCGGAAATAGCATCGTGATAAGTTGCGAGAGCCCAATCTGAGAATCCTTTGGCCATAATCCGGCGTTTGCGACGGTGATCTTCCTTGGAACTTGTGTTAAATGTGTTAATCGCATGTTTGTTGACCCGGAAAGCGCTGTAGAATTTCTCCGGCTTTTCGCAGTTCTTGTTAAATCCGTATATATCTAAATACGGCTATCTCAGTCCACACTATTCCGATGTGTTGTTGATTGGGGGAGCCTACCATTCAAAGCCTGGCCATCGTTGATAGATAGTTTATTTGGCGAGTATCGTACATACTTGCCTACACAGGTTGTCAGTCACGTATGGATCCTCAGAGGAATAGAAGCAATTGTACCATATTTACAATGCAAGTGGTAGAGATGGTAGTGCAAGTCGCCCTTCCAGGCGTGATATAGCGTGGGCAGACCGCAGATTTTTGATAGAAATGGCCCTGGATAGTTCCGAAATGGATGCAAAGCTATGCGATAGAACACCAGGCTTCCGAGGGCCTAAGATGTCTCGTCAGCGTCTTTCTCAGCTGAACCCAATTCAGTCCATACCCATGGCACGCCAAAGAAGAAAAACGGCATGGCATGTTGCCAAACAACATTATAAAGGTGCGTCCACGTCATTTCTCTAAGGTGTCCAATTTATTTCTCTAAGTCGTCCAATTTATTTCATATGTCGGGAAAGAAACAGACAACACAAAATAGTAAACAACAGTAAGCCACAGTCACTAGTATGTTTTCCGCTTCGACCAGGGCAAAGACGCTTTTAACTGCAATGACGCCGCACAACCAACGCAAGCCTAGAATTCCGCAATTCCTCTCCAGTCATACCTCGCATATCGAAGACTTGTCGTGTCAGAAGTGACAATCTGACAGGACAACCCTAATGCAGTCAGCTACAGTCAGCAATCTGTAGCTAGCTAGGAACCCGTAATTGGAAACCCCGCGACCACTTTAAAGTCTTGAAATTGTTCAGTATCTGGCTATCTTGGCCCCTTGGTGAAGATAGCAAATCATCCCCAGAAATGGGTTCAATCGCTCCACCCCCGAACTGTGGGCGACGTCTGCTGGCCACGCTGGTCGACGAGTTCGCTCGCACAGATCCAGAGAGAGTTTTATACTGTATTCCTCGGACGCCAGATGCTGCACATGGCTTCGACCGCATTTCTTGTAAGGCATTTGCAGAGGCTGTGGATCGGGCTTCTTGGTGGCTGCACGATCTGGTAGGAAGGAGTGAGTCGTTTGAACCCATTGGTTATATGGGACCAAGTAAGAGCATTATATGTATTCTGGCTGCGAAATATGGCAACTGATCACATGGGAAAAGACGACATTCGATATCATATTCTTCTCGTTAGTGCAGTCAAAACAGGGCATAAAGTGGGTTCTCCCCGTAACATACCATTTCTCATGTGTTGATTGTATGGCGTCCGTGCTTAGCTACTATTGAACTCGCCACGCAACAGTGTGGACGGCCATGTGAATGTTATAAGGGGTGCGAAATGCAGCAAGTGGCTCGTCCCTCGTGGCGTAGATATTCAACAAATCCTGGAGCATCACGAAATGCAGACATTTGCAGTTCCGGATCCTATTGAGTTTTTAGAAGGACCACCCGTTAAGCACTATGCGTACACGAAGACGTTCGACGAAGCAAGACAGGATCCTATCGTAGTCCTGCATACGTCTGGTTCTACCAGTCTCCCAAAGCCAATTATCCTAACCAATGGGAATAGCGCTGCAATGGATGCTCACAGCCTGATGCGTCTTATTGACGAAAAGGCCCCGCAGACTGTGGAATGGAGTAATCTTACGATCTTTGTAACGTTTCCGATCTTCCATGTGAGTTCAAACTGGTTATGTCTGGATAAGGAAAGAATACTGACAGGCAATATTAGGCTGGTGGGCTCTTTCTCACCCTCTGGGCTCCTCTATTCTTTGGCTACACCGTTATCTTACCTCCTCCAGGATTGCCAGATGTGAGGATGGTGGAGAAAATCCTTCAGAATACCCCTTGTGAAGCGATGGTTCTCCTCCCCAGCACGATTGAGGAAATTGCTAATAGCCCGGTTCTTGATCAAATGAACAAGATTCAATTCGTTTCCTATGGCGGAGGTCCTCTATCACCGCATGCAGGAGATTTACTCAACAGCGTGACCCGGGTTTATAACTGTATTGGAGCAACCGAAGCAGGCTGGTACCCAACTCTAGCCACCGATGTCGAAGATTGGCAGTACTTTCATTTCCATCCGGACAACGGCTTCGATATGCGTCTGCGGCCAGACGGGCTTTACGACCATGTCATCGTACGCGACACAGCGGCCGGAATGACCCAATCTGTATTTGAGACATTTCCCGACCTTGAGGAATGGCCAACCAAAGATCTGTATGAGAAACATCCTCACAAGCCCGACCATTGGCTTCACCGAGGGAGAGGAGACGATATCATTGTTCTCTCAAACGGTGAAAAGTTCAACCCTCTGACAATTGAGGCTGGACTCACCACTCATCCTTTCATACGGTCTGCTTTAATATTCGGGCAGGGTCGATTTCAGATCGGTGCCCTGCTCGAACTGACTGTTGCTGGAGACTCAAAGAGCTCCGATAAAGAGGAAATCCTACGTGCCATCGAACCCACCGTGGAGAAGGTGAACATTCTGGCCCCAGGCCATGCAAAGTTGTCCAGAGATCTCCTATTGATTGCCACTCCGGAAAAGCCATTCCAATATGCTTCGAAAAGCACAGTGAGACGAAAACCAACCCTAGAGCTTTATCAGGCGGAAATCGATAACCTGTATGACCTTATTGATATCAGATTCGGTTCTAACATCGACAGTATGGATACCACAACCGTAGAGGGTGTGGCAGCAGGTATCCGCAGCATGTTGACGAGTGTTGCCGGTTTCGCCAGTCTTGAAGACGACACAGATCTGTTCGCGCTCGGGTTTGATTCCCTGCAAATTCTGACTCTGGTACGATTCTTACGGGCGAGTCTGCGGGAACATGACCATGTGACTGTTGACCACAAACTACTATATAGCAATTCCACCATCTCCAAACTGAGTCAGGCCATCTACGGCCTAGTCAGACACGAGTGTCAGGAGCAAGGATCGGTCGTCGATGAGATGCGTTCGATGGTCGACCGTTACACGGTAAATGGGCCTCCGGTCACTCCAACGTCAAAAGAAGTTGCACCGGATGAGATCAACGTGATCATAACAGGCAGTACAGGCTCGCTAGGCTCTTACCTGCTGGATGGACTCATGCGGCACCCCAAGGTAGGACGCATCTGGTGCCTAAATCGGGCCACCGATGCGCAGGAAACCCAGACTCAGCTCAGCCGAGGGCGTGGGCTGCTTACCAACTGGGCATCGAAGGTGATTTTTCTAAAAGCGGATCTATCCCAACCGGGACTTGGGATCCAGCTTCACGATTACGAGATCTTGATTAAGCATGCAACCCACATTCTTCGTAAGAAATACAAACATCTCTACATCCCTCTAGCAAATAGGTGTCCCTAACGAGTGGTAGATAGCCAATGGCCTGTCAATTTTAACCTTCCCCTCTCCTCTTTTGAGCCACAAGTGGCAGGAGTCCGCCAGCTCTTAAACCTAGCAGCTGCATCCAAACACTATATCTCGCTATTTTTCGTTTCGTCTGTGTCAGTAGCTGCTCACTGGCCATGGGCAGAGTCCATGTTGGTCCCTGAGACGGTTATTATCGATCTCTCTGTCGCTGGCATGGGCTACGGTGAGGGCAAGCTAGTATCAGAGGCGGTCCTTGACTGGGGCGCAAAAGCCGGTCTCGCCCACACAGTGACCTGTCGGGTCGGGCAGATCGCTGGCCCTGTCAAGGGAGGCGGGCGAGTTGGACGGTGGAACCGAAAGGAGTGGTTCCCGGCAATCATCGACACATCTGCAACGCTGGGAGTTCTTCCACGAACTCTGGGACAGATGAACGAGATTAGCTGGATACCTGTTGACTTTCTTGCGGACATTATTCTAGAGTTGGCAGTTGACTCCAGGCCGCCCTCACCGACAACTAGTGGAGGAGTGGAGGTCTTTCATACTATCAATGCACACCGACCCATATGGGAGTCCCTTCTGCTCGTGGTCAAAAAGCAACTAGCAGAAAGCGGTCACCCAGTGGAGATTGTCGATTGGAAAGAGTGGGTTCACTTGCTAAATCAAGCAGCTGAGGAAGTAGAAGGGCAGATGAACCCTGCGGAACCGGTGCCGGGTGTGAAGTTACTCGATTTTTTCAAGGGCATAGGCACTGCCCCTAAAGGCGGAGAAGATCAGCGAGCACAGGGGACTCTAGATATCCAGAAAACCCGGAATAAGAGCCGGACGCTGGGCGAACTGGACGCGGTGGGAGAGGAATGGATGCGAACGTGGATGATGCAGTGGGGGTACTGATACAGATTCTTTTCTATTCCATTTCAATACATTCCCACTTATGCATCACACTGATGCTAGGAACGTGACTACTCTTGATACAACCATATTAAGTAATTTCTATCCAGCAACTCACGATGCCATCGGGTTGAGTTCGATGACCTATTACCTGTCATTCTACTTCCATGTGCCAAAGGAGTCGATTCCAGACGGTCCGGGATTAACCTCATTGTATTTTTGGCATCTATCACGAAAACTTTGGGCCACCTACTTACACGAAATGCGATTCTAATCGGGTCTTCCTTCCGTGTGCAATTATTTCTAACGCATAAGTTTTCTATAGTGAGCATCCGCATAGCACCTACTCTATATCGTTCCAGCGCTCCAAACAGGTCGTGCGTATAGCGCGACCCTGAATAACTAGTAGGGGTCGGTTATTTAATAAAATTATTTTATACTTTAAAAGTTTTATTATAGATAATTCCATTATTAAGATGAAGTTTAAACTTATTATTATTCTAACTAAATATATTTTTATTAATATTATCCTTGTGACAGGCTGAACCTGCTTCCTGATACTCAGGCTACTTGGCATGAACCAGGTGGCAACGAGGATTAGGGCTAGGGCTTATTGGGAAGTAAGGAAGTACATATAGTTGTCAGAGAATCAAAATGTTACAGCCAATGAATAAGAGAAACTAATGCATGATAGAATAAAAGATTATCTATAACTGCTAGGATTAGAGTAATAGAGTTAATAGAGTTATGGCTATGTTAATTATACTTATAAGAATAGAGTAAATAAAGCAATAATTATATTAGCTATAATAGAGGAAAGTTATATAAGGACGCTTATTTATTTTATATTTAATTTTTGTTATTATCTTACATTAATTATAATAACTTGAGTATATAATCTTCTATTAATTAGAATATTTAAAAATTTTATTCTTATTTCTTTTATTTAATAAAATCTTTTGATCTTAGAAACCTATTAACTTTGCTTATTAATAGCTATTCTAGCTATACTTGATAGTAATCTAATTAAAATTTTTATAATTCAAGACTCTTAGTCAAAAGAGAAGTCTTAAAAATAAATAATAATAATATTTTAAATTTTAGTTCTAATAACTTTAAGTCCTAATTTATAAATTATTGATATTAGTAGATCTTTTAAGAATATATCTATGTAGTTCTTATATTCCTTTAGTAATTATTTCTGGATTTTTTTGATATTAAGTATTGTAATTCTAGTAGATTGTCGGAAACTTCGGTTAGATTACCGTTGAGTATAGCTAGGATAGCTATTAACAGGCAAAGTTAATAGGCTTCTAAGGTCAAAAGATCTTAGTAGACAAAAGAAATAAGAATAAGGCTATAAATATCCTAATTAATAAAAAATTATATACTTAAATTATTATAGTTAATTTAAAACAATAGAAGAAAATTAAATATAAAATAAATAAATATCCTTATATAATTTTCCTTTATTATAGCTATTATAGTGAATCCTATAATTTCTATATAATAATTATTATAGCAATTATAACTATTACTCTAATTTCTCTAATACCCTAATTCTAAGGCTTTATAGATAATCTTTTATTTTAATATATATTAGTTCTATTATAACTAACTTAATCTATTAATTATAATATTCTAATTCTCTAATAATTCTTTTCTTTAAAGACTAGTATCTTAATAGTTTAATAAATAATTTATATTTCTTAAAGTATAAATAATTAATCTTAACTCTTTAAATATTTTAAATATATAATCTTATAATTTTATATTAACTATATCTTTAAAAAAAATAATTTTAAAGAACTCTCTTCTCTTATATATTAAGTAATTTAGTATCACTTATTATTTTCTATATAATTGATATGGTAATTTAAAAAAGACTTACATTAAAGTAAAGTTTTCTAAATATTATAATAAGTATATTTATATAAATAACTATTATTATTTTAAAATACTTATATTAAATTTAAATTAAAAGTATCTTATTAAGGCTTAAGATAAAATTAAAATTAATAAAGAAAAAGCTTATAAAAAAGTTATAGCTCTTATAGCTAGACTTAATTATTTATAAAAATAAAAGAAATTATTAAGAAAATATATTAATTAATTTATCTAAATAGATATTAAAGATATCAAAGAATTAGAAAAATTAGAAAAATTAGAAAAAGTAGAAGAAAAGACAAAAGTAAAATAAATAAAAGAATAATAAAAAACTAAAAAGCTTTTAGCTACTACTTTTACTTTATAAAATAATAATCTTATTCTTAGTATTAACTTTAATCCTTCTATCTTTCTTAATTATACTTCTATCTTTATTCCTAAATCTTCTTAGAGCAATTTAAATATCTAATAAATTTCTATATATCTTCTTGTCAGAGAATCAGAACGTCACAGCCAATGGATCGAGTTAGTCACCACAGGACTAATGCAGATCGGAACAAAGGATTACCTGCGAAGCCTCAGGGTTAGGGTAATAGAGTAAGCAGAGCCATCATTATGTTAATTATATTTATTAGGACAGAGTGAGCAGAGCTATTATTATATTAATTATATCTATTAAGATAGAGCGAGTAGAGCTATCACTATATTAATTATATTTATTAAAATAGAGCAAGTAGAGCTATTGTTATATTAATTATAATAAAGAAAAATTATATAAGAATACTTATTTATTTTATATTTAATTTTCTTCTATTATCTTAAATTAACTAAGATAACTTAAGTATATAATCTTCTACTTATACTTTTTTTTATTTTAAATATTTATAAGCTATCTCTGTTGTGTGCTAGTATCTAATAATCTAGATTTTTAAAAGATTCTAATAATATAGAATATTAGCTAGTAAAGACTATTTACTTTTCTTAATATTATATAGATCCTTTAATAATCTATAACATAAATCAAAATATAAGGTAATCCCTATAAGGCATATCTAGCCCCATATCTTCTCTGCATGTGATTTATCCATATGTCGGAAACTTCGGTTTGATTACCGTCGAGTATAGCTAGGATAGCTATTAATGGGCAAAGTTAATAGGCTTTTAAGATTAAAAAGTCTTAGTAAATAAAAGAAATAAAAATAAAGCTTTAAATATCCTAATTAATAGAAGATTATATACTTAAATTATTATAATTAATTCAAGATAATAGAAGAAAACTAAATATATAATAAATAAGTATTCTTATATAGCTTTCTTCTATTATAGTTAATATAGTAATAGCTTTATTTGCTCTATTCTAACTAACATAGTTAATATAATAATAGCTCTGCTAGTTTTATTGTCCTAATCTTAAGATTTTATAAATAATCTTTTATTCTAATATATATTAGTCCTATAATAATTAATTTAATCTATTAACTATAATATTTTAATTTTCTGATAATCCTTTCCTCTAAAAATTAGTATCTTAATAACTTAATAAATAATTTATATCCTTTAAAGTATAGATAATTAATTCTAATTTCTTAAATATTCTAAATATATAATTTTATAGTCTTATATTAACTATATCTTTAAAATAAAATATTAATAAGAATAATCTTATACTATATATTAAGTAATCTAATATAGAATTATTTTTATTTTATTTTCATTATTTTTTACTAAATAAGATTTATATAAAATTAAAAATATTATTATACTATAGTAAATATATATAAAATAATTATTATAAATATATTTTAATAACTTCATCTAATCTTATATAAAAAAAATTTTTTTATATTTAAAAGTACTTAGAAGAGAATAGAGATAAGATAAATATTAAAATTAAAACTCTTTTAGTAAAATGTGCTTATCTTAATAAATAGTAAAAATTACTATAAAAGTATACTAATTAATTTATTTAATTAAATATAAAAAATATCAAAGAGTTAGAAAAATTAGAAAAAATAAAAGAAAAGATAAAAATAAAATAAATAAAAAAATAATAAGAGATTAAAAAGCTTTTAGCTATTATTTTTATTTTATAAAATAATAATCTTATTTTTAATATTAACTTTAATTCTTCTATCTTTCTTAATTATATTTTTATCTTTATTCCTAAATCTTCTTAGGATAATTTAAATATCTAATAGATTCCTATATATCTTCTTTAGATCTATATCCTTTCTATCTTATAAAATAATAGATATATCCTTTTTTTAATTTATATTATAGTATCCTTTTAACTTTATATTCTTTATTATTTATTACTTTATTCTTATTTATTAGATTAATAATTAGTTCTAATAATAAGATATAAAATATTAAATGTATTTATATTCTTACTAGTAACTAAAGTTTATAATTATTATTTATAAGTTTTTCTCTAATAATAAATAGTCTAAATTTAATTATATCAAATTTATCACTTAATCTTATATTTTTAATATTAAAATTTTTTAATCTTAATATTTATTATAAAAGATAAACTCTTTTTTTTTTTAAATATTAATATATCCTCATGCTTTTTATTATAATATCTTTTTATTCTTATTTCTGCTTATTTAATGTCTTTTAATAAATTATTATATAATAATTATATATATATTGCTTAGATATTTGCTTTATTAGATATTTTTTTTTATTTAATATTTTTTTAACTTATCCTTAGAATTCTTTTTAGATTAATAAAATATAATACTTGTCCTGTTAATATATTTATAGTATTATTTATTATAAATTAAGTAATTAGTAGTAATTTTATTTAATTATCTTAATTCTAATCTAAGTAATATCTTAGATATTGTTTAACTATTTAAATTATTCTTTTAGTCTAGCTATTAGTTTATTAATAATATATAATTAATAGATTATATTTTATTTTATAATTTTTTGTGATTATCTATTAAAATTTAAATATAAATAACTTATTTCTGTTAGATATAATTTTATTTAGTAATTTAAATATTATAAATACTTCTTATAATATTAATATTATATATTATTATACTATTAAACTCTTTAATATTAATTTTAGGATAATATATTTTATAAATTTATTTATAATAATA